AGGGAGGGAGGAAGGAAGGGAGGGAGGAAGGGAGGGAGGGAGAAAAGGTAATGGATCACATTACAAAGTGCACTGTAGCTCCCAGAGAACTTGGGAGGGCATCTGAATTCAAACCACATGCTTACTTTATGTCAAAAAATCAGTACCCACACAGGTAGTTGTTATGGTTAAGGAGTCAGGACAAAACCATGGTTTGCATGCTTTTTTCATGGATCGACAGGATCCCTCCTCTCCAACCAATGTAATCCCAGGTGCAAGTCCTGAATGGAGGTTAAATGCTCCCACCACTCCCTGGATGGAAATGCCAGTTCTCCCTGGTCCTCTCTACAAATCCTAAGATCCTCTGCCTCCTGGTCCTGGGATTCCCATTGGCCCCAGCAGATACCTAACTCTTGGATAATCTTAACACCAGGGAAGGGACAAATTCGAATCTCGCAGCTTCAGATGATTTCTCTAGATGTTGTTTCGCAAATAAGCAAAGGGAGGTTTTTGGAATATTCTAGGTGCCAACATACTCTCCTCTAGAGCTAGGACCAGCAAGAAACAAAGCCTAAGAGAAAAAAAGAGTTCCCCAAGATATACAAAGTGGATGCACATGGGAGTTTTTCTGTGCATTCTGGAGAAAGGCTAGCTAGGATTGGTCAGACCCCGTTCAGAGTTGAAACTTCTTTGGTTAGATACGGACAAAGCTTCTGGAAGTCCAGCCTTATTCTTCTTGTCAACGCAGGTGGATAGTTACTAGTGCGCTCATCAGCACTGACTGCCCACAGGGTTAATCAAGCCTCTGGCTACTCTCCTGCAGGGCTTGTGCTTTGTTCCTCTGGCATTGAGTGATTCCTGGGTTTGGGCAAGCTCCAGGCGCTCCGTGTGTACAGGATGCCTCGGTTCGCAACTAGAAACACAGTGCACGCAGAGATAGGAGTCTGTGCGAAGCCAGTAGCAACTCGCGGCGCGGAAGAAGGGGTGAGCCAACGAGCGAAGCCCACCTGGTTGGCAAGGCCAGGCCTTTCTCTGCGCGCCGCCGGGTGCAGATGGAGTTCGCCCTTTGCGCGGGTGTACTGCGCCTGCTTCAAGAGTCGCTCAGGGGCGGTCCTGGCGGGCCAGCCCCGAGCCGCCTTCCCATTGGCGGGAGGACACGCCCGTCCCCGAGTGAGGGCTTCCAAAGTTTCATTGAAGGTGGAGAAGTGTGCGCCCGCCGGGGAGCCCTGGCTGCGCCGCGGCTAGGGCGAGGCTGCACCGCGGCGGGCGGGGGGCGCGCTGGGCATCCAGACGACGTTTGAGTTTTCTTTTTAAAATTGAGACAGTGGAGGAGGGAATTGGCATCTGATCTACCCGTTTTGCGCTTTCCTGCCCGAGCTCACACGATTCCTGCAAGTGCGGGAGGGACTCGCAGCGCCACCGGCGGACAGATAACTGGAGCCCAGCGGTGTCCGGAATGGTCCTGTGCGCCTGGCTGCGCCCACCTCGGTCTCTCTGGCCCGAAGCTGGGGGGCACAGAGGCTGAGCTGCACCACCACCCGGGATCCACAGCCTGCTGCTTGAGGCCGCGGGCTGTAGGACGCGACTCGGGGTCCGCGGGGCAGCTTCGAGAGCCAGGCGCAGGGCGGCGCGCGGCAGCCTGCGTGGGCAGAGGGGCCGGAGCCGGGCAGTAGAGACTCGTTGGCTTCAGAAAGGTTCTGCGCAAAAGGCTCCCCGGCCTCCCCTGAGCGACGCCCCGGGAGCCCGGCCAGAGGACTGCACTCCCTCTTCGCCCCCTTTCCGCACTGTTCCAGGCCCCTAGGACTCTCCCAAAGTGTCCTCCTCCAGGGCCCCCGCCCAGCTGCCCCTGAAGAGGCCGCCGCCACCGGAACCTGAGTTCTACACTTAATGGGCCGGCCGCAGAGGGTCGGGCGCCTGGCTAGGTGGCTGCCAAGAGCCTGGTGAGCGGCTGCCCAGAGCCCTGCGGGCGAGGGGCAGCTGAGAGCGCGTTGAGCGCGCCCTCGGGGCGGAAAGCCCGGAGGCCAGCGCAGAGGCGATGCCTGGGCAGCTTGCTGCTGGTAGGAGGCCCTAGGCGGGCATGGGCCTGGCGTCCCAGCCCTAGGGACCCTCGAGCCTCGCCCCTGCGCTCGGAGTCGCCGAACCGACGAGATGGCCTCGGAAGTGGTGTGCGGGCTGGTCTTCAGGCTGCTGCTGCCCATCTGCCTGGCAGTAGGTGAGTCTAGTGGGCTCCCCAAGGTTACTCGGGGACTGTGAGGAGGGCTTCCTAGTGGGGACTTCCTAGCAAAGTTTAGGGCACTAGTGCTCCCGAATTCGATTCCCGAAGCGTGGGCCAGGTGGCAACAGCGACAGCCGCGCTGTCCCAGTGTCACAGTAAGTCTCTCTCACTTCCCGATCTGGGGCAAAGGATCGGTGTCTCCCTTCAACATCCAGCTGCAGGGTCCTGGTAACAGAGATCTGCTGCAGGTGCTGGAGACCGTTGTGTTGAATTTAGCCACGCGTGGATTTTATTTTATTTTTTTAATAAGCAGAGTACTGCCTGTGCACAGAGGATGCAAGTCGCCTGGAAGGCGGCAGTGACCCCCCGCGGTAGGAACCTGAGCTTAGACCTGAGGCCCCCTCCTCCAGGATGTCCTGGGACAGGCAGCACAGGGTGCTCCATCCAGACCACCAGGGGCCATCTCTCCCCTACCCCATATCCCAGCCACCCTGTAGGGAGAAGTAAAAGATCCAATGGAGTTTGTTTGTTTGTTTGTTTTTTAAAAGAAAAACAGGGACTAGGCACCGGGAAAGCCCCTTTTACAAGGGAAGTGTTGGATGCTGAGGCTGAGAACCTATCTAGTCCTGCCCTCCCTCTCCGGGCACTTAGAGGGTTGGAAGTAGCCTTGGAACTCCTTGGGACTGTCGGGGTGAAGACCCCGGCCACCGAGAGCCTCAGGGATGCCCAGAGGAGTGCCTCACTATTCTACAGGCTGGCAGGGTGTTGAAAGGATGTAGGCGTTGGTCTAAGGACCAGCCAGCGTCTAGTAATGAGGGAGTTTCTGAATTTCTTCTCAAATCCTGCATGTTATGCCGAATCCCACTCCTAAGACTGATCATGGGGCCATGGGACTGTGCTTGGCTTTTCCTCTTCCCACTCCAGAGCTAGAGAATAGAACACTTTACCAAGTAGCAATTGTGTTTACAAAGAGAGGGTGGTCTTTGCACAAAAGGCCACCTTTGTGTCCCTTGCCAGAGGTTAATGACTCGAAATCACACCTGTGTTAAATGTTTTCTTTGTTCAAGAGTATGAAACCCAATGCAAGCCATCAACAGGATATTGTAGTGGAGTACTAATTAACACCTTTAGATAGCAAAGTGTGTGGGAGACTTGAGAAGGAGAACCCTCCATGGAAAAGCCAGCTTGGGCAGCAGGAGGGACTCCTATGGGGTTTGCTGGCCTCATCCTCAAAACTGCATTTCAAGTTTCAAGGCAGGACCATTTTCCAGGGATCTTTGTTGTCAACAAACTCACATACAGGAGGAGCTCATCTTCAGCGAAACTGACTTGGAGGTTGGTTTGGGAAAGGTTCTCTAGGCACTTTCAGCACAGTGGGTGTCTCTGTTTGGCAGTCACCTCTGCATCTGGAGCCTGGCAGAGTGCCCGGCACATTTCGTATTTGCTGATTGGAAGCTAGTGCTTGAGTTAAGGAGGGGCTTTTAGAGAGAGGGCGGACTTGTGGCCAGTGCTGACCAGAAGGGGTCCTCAGGAGTGGCTCTGGGGTCAGAAGCTGCTCCCTCCCCTGTCTGACCCACCATCTCCTTCTTGTTCCCCTCCTCCCTCTCCCTGGGCACTTGCTGGGTTCTGTGACTGTTAGAAGAATAAGACATGGTCATCTGCAGCCAGTTCGGTCCATTCTGTCAAATGACAGCAGGAATGACCCGTTGATTGCCTGTGACCTCTCCCTAAGCATTGGCTCCTATTGGACATCTTGCTTGTCCCTAGTCTGGGAGGCTGGAGCCTAATTATACTGACTAACCTGGGGTTTTCCACTGCGAGAGGCCCTTTACCAGGATTGTTGCTCTGGCACAGAGTGGGCGGTGCAAAGCCCTGGGCGGAGGCCCCAGAGCTTCCAGAGCCCCCAGGGGAGGCAGAACAGGGGCTGCTGCCCGCGGTCTGGGGTCATCCTCCTCCTGGCCTCTTGCCTCATCCCGCCTCTTCCATGGCACCCACCCACCATGGAAGAGTCACCTCCTGCCCGCCTGAGCCCGCAGGCTATGGGCTTTAGATGTGAGTCCACCTTGAGCCCCGGGGTTTCTTGGGAGAAGCAGGGCTCCCAGGCGCCAGGATAGTAGCCCCGCCCCCTCTGTTTCCTGGACCACAGAGTCAGCCCAGGGGATGTTGCAGCCTTAACATGGTCTGCTCCTTCCTGCTTGCTCACATTTCTCTGTGGGAGGGCGTGTGTTCTTGTGTATGTATGAGTGTAAGAGTGTATGTGTGTGTGCATTTGAGTGAGCTTGTGTTTGAGTATAAGTGTGTGAGTCTGTGTGTGTGAGCATGTGTGTGGAGTGTTAGGAGTGTGTGAGAGATGCTATGGATATGTGGTGTGTTGTTTTTTGTGTGTGAGATGTTACGAGTGGGAGTGTGTGGGGATGTTTTGAGTGTGTGTGGTGTGGAGCCTAGTGGTGTCCCCAGCTCAGCCTAGAGCCTGTGGTTTCCCCGGGAGCCTGCAAGGCGTGGGTTCAGGGAGAGCAGGGGCTGGCTGCCCCAGGAAGGCGGAGGAGGAGAGCATCAGGGGATGCGGCCCTAAATCTCCGCTGGACTTTCGCTGCTGTCTGGAAGACAACCCACACCTGGAAGGCTAATGGTGCCTTCCAATGGCTGAGCTTCAACAGGGTGGTGGCTGCCACCTTGATTCTCTTCTTGAGGAAGTGGAGATCTCAAGGTTATTGAAGGGTTTTCTGATCTATCTACTCTCAGGGGGCTGCTAAATCAAGCATGCAGCTTTCTTAACATCCTGGGCAGGGAGTGCAGCAATCTGCTTGCCGTTAGAATAGATCTCACACCTTTCCCATCTATTTTGACCTTGGGCAAGGCAGCCTTCAAAGTCAAGCCCTGGCAGAATCCTGCGGCTGGCTTCCCTTTAAACCCCCATTTCTGTAGCACTGATGTGGAAGCCTCCGCCCTCATGTCTTCACCTAATGATGGGGGTGAGAACCAATTGTCTTGTGTTTAATCTGTTGCTAATTTTTTTTCCCCCCTGTGAAAGAAACGAAAGGGCAGTGATAAGTGATACCAGGGCTCTTCTATGCAGGTGTTATCTGATTCTTGAGTGTTAAAAGCAAACAAAACCATAACAGAATGTGGTGTTCATCATCCAAAATGAACATGTGCTGACAGATGTGCCTATATCTATAGCCACCACAGATTTGAATATCTCCAAAAGACCTGTGACTTCTTGGTGGCCCTCAGAGTTTTCCTTATGCATAATATATGAAAATGGCAAAAACCTTCTGTAATATCATGCAGTCTTTCATAATGATAGCAGTAAATGGTCTTTGTTGAGCACTTTACAAATTTCTTTTTACACAATTGTTTTCCCACCCATCTTTAAGTACATGACTGAGTTTGTTCCAAGGTTAGGAGGGACTAGGGATATTTTGATCACTGGCTTCAACCGGTTTATTCCATCTTGCCTAGGGTTGCTTGGAGTCCCCCAAGGTCTTGTCCAGAAGAGCCAGCGTACTCACATTCAGGGAGGGAAGAGAAGGGAGGACACTGGACTTGGACAGTACCAAGGGAGAACAGAGGACAGAGACCTAGGTAGCTCCCCACCCCAGCTCCTGCTCCCCCTAAATGGAGGGTGAGAGGTTAGGAAAGAGCAGAGAAATAAAGGGCTGCAAAGGCTACAGTGTTCCCAGGAAAAAATTATACTTGGAAAATATTGCAATTCCAGGAATATTCTTTAAAATTCCCTTTGGAAATAGCTGCATTAAAATCATAGTAAAAATATGTGGTCACTTTTGAAATATGTCTAGGTCTAGCTCTCTAAACACAATTTCTTTCTATAGTATATTTATTTTCTCTATGTAGCAGATATCTTCTTCTTCTTCTTCTCCTTCTCCTTCTCCGTCTTCTTCTTTTTATACCAGGGATGGAACCCAGGGGCACTTCACCACTGAGCCACATCCCCAACATTTTTTATTTTTTATTTTGAGACAGGGGTCTCGCTTAGTTGCTGAGCCAGGCTTTGAATTCATGATCCTCCGCCTCAGCCTTCAGAGCTGCTGGGAATTCAGAGGTGCGCCACTGCACCTGGCTTCCAGATGTAATTTTGAAGTCCCACTTAAACACAGTTCAAGGCTCACAAATGAAGCTAATTTGAATCTAATCAGCATGGATTTTTCTTGATCAGTGTTAGTCTGGCTTGCTGCTGCCACCTTGCTCAGTGGTTCCAGCTGCTGAAGGATCCCTGGAAAGCATTTAAAGTAACTTTGCTTTTAGCCACACCTTCTCGGCCTTGTAGAAGTAGATACTATGTCCCACTCTCAAAAATAACTGAAAGGATGGAAATAGCTGAATGGATTTGACATGTATAGCATGCAGAAGTTTTCTGATTATGACCTGCTTTTTTGAATTCTTTGCACACTATTCAGCATGAAACCAGGATATTATTATGATGAACGTGTTTAGACTCTTGTATGTGAATTTGCAAATACTAAAAACATTTTGTTAAAGCAGAAGCAGATCTGGTCTGTATTGTTTCTGCCAGTTAGTATTTGGGCCTTCTGGTATCATTCCACTAGTTATCTGAGGGTGAAGATTTTTCAAAGACTGATTTCTTAGAAAGTTAATGGTTTTGTGACCCAGTCTGAGATGATTGCCCCCCTCATAGTTTTCCAACTCTGAGCTCCACAGCCCACTTCAGGTTCAATGGGGACAACCCAAAGCACACTGTATCCCCTGCAGCCTCCTCTGCCCGCTCAGGCCTTCTGAGTGGAGTGGACAAACCATTTTCGACACCTTCACCTGCACGTTTGCCAGGAGCCTGTCCATGCCCCTGCCCTCAAGGACAGGCCCTTTCCAACCAGGAGCCGCCTTCAGAGCCGTCCCTCTAGGTTCATTCTGCTCTTTCTTCTTGGCCCACCAGGGAGCCGCAGCTTCCCCTCTGGGTCCCAGAGCAGGGAGAGTCTCGGCCTCCTTCTTGGCTCCTTTCTACCTTTGCTGTGTGTGAA